ACAAAGTCTGAAAACAAACAATACACTGTTTCTGAATTAAGGAAATGAAATAGGAATAAAGGGAGACGCCAGGGCCTGCGGATGCCTATAGGTCTACCTTGGATCTCTGCGTGGACTGAAGCAATCTACGGTCCAAATGTTGTTGCTTCGGGATTTGCACATAGTGCAGAGTGTAGTATTAGCATAACCGACCCCATGTGCTGGTAAGTGCCTAGCCTAACCTCGGCGAAGTAGTGACAAGGCTAGGACCAGACTACCAAATAAACCTGTGCAATTTAACTATATATAACGGAAAAAAAGAACAGAAATATACAATCAAGTATGAGATGGATAACATGTTGCGGGGGAACTATCAATTTAGAATAGAAAGACAGTAGGAAATTGAAAGAAACAATATATCTCAGATATCAACAAAGAATCAGAAATCAATAAATGCACGACATCGCCCTTCGTGCTTTTACTCTCGTCCTCACCAAAGCAATCAAGTAATGAAAATGTGCGCGGCATCACCCTTCGTGCTTTTACTCTCACCCTAACCATATAATCAATATAATCGGCACGAAATGGTACATCGTGCGACACAGCATCACCCTTCGTGCTTTACACTCTTTCCTCACAAATCATACACGGCATCACCCTTCGTGCTTTAACACTCTCTCACCAAAACAATACACGACATCACCCTTCGTGCTTTAACACTCTTCCTCACCCAAACAACAATCACAAATAATAGGGTGAGGGAATAAATGAAATTACGATAAGAATCCCGGCAAGGGAACAATAGTTCAACTATCAAGTCCCGGCAAGGGAATAACATCAAAAGAAACATCAACATCCCGACAAGGGAGATAATATGAAAAGAAACAATATCCCGGCAAGGGAGATAAAATAATGATTCTCTTCTCTTTTTCATTTTTACTTCACAACTCACTTCACCACTTTGAGCCAATGCTCTAAAAGGTTCAATTTCCATTTATACTTTAACATTTCATTGTACAACTTGAGCCAACGCTCCTCAATATTCAAATGTCTCAATTACTTCCACAAACTTTGCCCAACAATAGAAATCATCATCAAATCATGAATAATACAACGAAGTCGTAATAGTCACAATATAAGACTCACTGGCATACTTGACACCAACGTATAGATACTCGTCACCATGCCTATACGTCATACTCGACAAATACCACTTAGCAAATAGGACTCGACTCTTAATCCCTCAAGCTAAGGTTGGACCAAACAGTTACCTCGATACCACGAACATAATTCAAGCTTCTACTATCGCTTTACCACTTGATTCCACCACCAATTCGCTCGTATCTAGATACAAGTTACTTAAGTACATTAATAAATGCTAAATGAATCAATTCTAATGCATGAAAAATGAGTTTTCTAAAGTTTTACCCAAAAAGTCAAAAATCGCCCCCGGGCCCACATGGCCAAAACCCGAGGTTCGAACCAAAATCCGATTATCCATTCCGCCATGAACCCAAATATATAATTTGTTTCGAAATCAGACCTCAAATTGAGGTCCAAATCCCCAATTTTTGAAAAACCTAAGTTCTACCCAAAACACCCAATTTCCCCCATGAAAATCATTGATTTTGAGTTGAAATCATGCGAAAAGATGTTAATCATTGCAGAAAACGAGTTAAAATTGACTTACAATCGATTTGGAAGAAGAGTTATCTTTGAAAAATCGCCCAAGAATGTTTTGGTTTTGAAAGAGTGAAAAATGAGAGATTTTCGGCTAAGTTATAAAATTACAGGTTGCAGATATGAGAATTGCGATCAGGGTTCGCAATTGCAAACCCAAACTTCTGCTAAGTTCGCATTTGCGAAAATGGGCTCGTATTTGCGAGCTGGAAAATGCGACCAACCTGTCGTATTTGCGACGACTGGCCACAAGCTGGGGGATCGCATTTGCGATTAAAACACTCGCAATTGCAAGATAGGCTGGCCTGGGCTACTTTCACAATTGCGACATAGCCCTCACATTTGCGATATCGCATTTGCTAGCCAGGCTTCGCAAATGGGAAGCCTGCAGGCCTGCACAGAAACAGCTGAAGCCTGTAATTCCTTAAGTCCAAAAATCCACCCCGTGGCCTATTCAAAACTCACCCGAGCCCTCGGGGCTCCAAACCAAATATGCACACCATCCTAAAAACATCATACAGACTCGCTCGTGCATTCAAATCACTAAAATAACATCAACAATTATGAATTTAGCATCGAAATCATGAAATTTCTTAAAAACTTCAAATTTTCCAATTTTTCTCAAAAACGATTTGATTCACGTCGTTTCAAGTCCGTTTCTTACCAAACTTCATAGACTTATCTTAAATCACATATAAGACCTGTACCGGGTGCCAAAACTAAAATACGGGCCCGATACTATCAAGTTTTAAACACTTTTCATTTTCAAAAATCATAAACAATTTCAGAAAATAATTTTCTTTAAAAAATTCATTTCTCGGGCTTGGGACCTCGGAGTTCGATTCCGGGCATACGCCCAAGTCCTATATTTTCCTACGGACCCTCCGGGACTGTCCAATCATGGGTCCAGGTACGTTTACCTAAAATATTGACCGAAGTCAACTTAAACTCATTTTAAATGCAAAATGCATCATTTTTCACAGAATTTCACAAAGTGGCTTTCTGGCTATGCGCCCGGACTGTGCACGCAAATAAAGGTAATACCGAAAGAGGTTTTTAAGGTCTCAAAACGTAGAATTCACTTTTAAAACAAATAATGACCTTTTGGGTCATCACAAATAATGACTCTTAGAGTCATGCATTAAGTGGCACAATTCTAGAGAATTGTGGCCAAGTCATCAAGAAAACCCAACCTAGTTGAGATATGTGTGGAGTAAACTAAGTGCATTCAGTAATGCTGTTAGAGCAAAAAGAATCACAAGACACAAAGATGCCACAAAAACTCTATCTTGAAAAAGAAAAGTTCAACAGAAATGTCCAGGAAAATGCTATTCATGATATGGTTCTCTCTAGACATGCTTTGAAGTTTGGATTTGAATCCTCTCTTCTTTTTTTTCTTTACTTAAGAGAAAAAGTTTATGCCTTTTTGAGGATATACATCTTTAAAATTTGATGCAGTAGATGATAAACAATCTTTTTAAAGGTATTTCTCTTGAGAACATGTGATGTAAATGATTTTTTAGTGTAGTACTTCACATTTATTTACATCAACTTACAGAACTTCATGATAACTTAATATTCTTTCATCATTTTTTTGCGCACACTTCAAAATTCTTATCACATGACCAAGAGTTTTTTATTCTTTGCGTCTTTTTTGTCTATTGAATATTTGTTTGGCTTTAATACTCTCATAGTATTTTAAAATCCAGCTTGACAGGTCTTTGGAAATCTCTTGAGTTCCTCTTTAAATTATTTTATTTGAATTGGTGAAAACCGCGTTTATCATATACCAAGCAAACCAAATAACTTGCTAGACTTTTGGTTCGTTGCAGGTAACAAGAATAGAATAAACTTTCTCAAACTAAGGAAATTTGAGTTGTTTAAGACTTTTTAACAGTGAATTGAGATTTCATGTTGGCTTCAAGGAAGACATTGGAGACTCATGGTTAAGAAATAAGAAGCCATTGCCAAAATGATATTAATCGTTATAACATCTGAGGAGATATAAGAAAACTTTGCAAGAACCATTAGCCAACTAGGAAAATATAAGGATATTTTTCCTACTTTGATTCGGTGTTACGTGTTCTTCGCAAAAGATTTTTACTAGAAGGATTGTCAAGAGAATTGGTCCAGGTATGTTAAGGTCATCCCTTCTTTCTTTTGGCATGGTCCAAATTATATTGAAGAAACAAACAAATACACAGTTTCCATAAATTACTCTATTCATAGAGTTATTAGAGGTGTCTTTATTCTTGATTCCCCATGAAGAATATTATTACTTCATGTTCATGGGTCTCAGAATAATACACAGTTGAAAAAGGTTATCCGGAAGGAATATTAATGTTATTACGTATTTTTCATGCATTTCACCCATTTATACATGTGCATTGACCCATGACCAGATGACATTATATACGCGTATATATGTATATTATATTTATATGGGATACGGGAAAAAGGTTACGCGTTATATACACATCACCACCTAATTAGTTGGTATATGATGATGATGTTGCCCACATTGGCTGAAATATGACTCAGACGGCGTTATATACGCGTATATATGTATGTATATGTATATGGGATATGGGAAAGGTTATGACGTTATATACACACCATCACCTGATCAGCTGGTATACGTTGATAATTTGCCTACAGTGGTCGAGATGATATGATGGGATGCCCTCAGAGGCGTGATGATGTTATGGCGTTATATATGCGTATATATATATATATATGTATATATATATATATATATGTATATATATGTATATAGGAAAGGTTATAGCGTTATATACGCACCACCACCTGATCAACTGGTATACGATGATGATACTGCCCACAGTGGCTGAAATGATATGATAGGATGCCTTTAGAGGCTTGATGATGTTATGTACGTATAGACCTATGCATTACATGACATTTATACGCATATGCATGACATTATAAATATTTCATGATTTACAGAGCTATTCAGACTTACAGGTTGAGTCCTTTACTTCATGTTTCCTCCATGCTCTTTATATATATTTACATGCCTTACATACTCAGTACATTATTCGTACTGATGTCCTTTTGTTGGGGATGCTGCATTCATGCCTGCAGATATAGATAATCAGTTTCACGAGCCCTCATAGTAGACGAGATTTGCACTCAGTGAAGGATCGGTAAGACTCCACCTCATTCAGAGTGCAGCCGAGTCTATGTGTCATCGTGTCAGATTTTTGCTACAGACTTACGGGTCGGTACCCTGTCCCACTTGATGTCAATTAATCTTAGAGGATTTGTATACAGAGGTTCAGTTTATACGGTATGTTAGAGTCCTTGAAGGCCCATATGTATTCATGTCTTAAGAACGATAGTTTTATTGATACAGTGTTGCCCACTTACAGTTGTATATTATGAGTTGTTAGTCATGTTGGCCCATGATAGTTACAAAAAGAATGAGTTCAGCTAATTTGAACTAGGTATCTTCTACTTTTGATCGAATAATTATGAGTTACAGAGTGGTTCGCTCGGGCCAGCTCGACATCGGGTGCCAACTAAGCCTCCCCAAGTTTGGGGCGTGACAGGGGACCTCCTCCTCGCCGGTCCCCACGACCCCGTGGGGCACCCCTGCCTCGTCCCCTCTGTCTTGCTACGGGCCTACCCTATGGTAGTTCTCTGGCACAATATAAGCAGGGGCGTTCTCTAAGCGCTCTTTCTCTCTAGCTCGATGTAGTGTCCGGGCAGCCAGCTCCGTAAACTGCCGGCTATACTCCTGCAAAGCGATCGCAGGATCGCTGACATGCTGTTGCATCTGCAGTCCCAACTGGTGGACTAAATGTAGACTAATATCCTGCATAACATGTAAAAATATAAATTATAGAATGCTATATCACAATTATAAGTAAGAATACCAAATAACATATCAGTTCCCCGTGCCTCTCGACGTATGGAACGTACTGACTGCCAGCTCGGTGAATGGGGTTCCCGATGAAACGTTGGGTAAAGTTGCGGTACCAGGGCAGATACTCATGCTCAGCATCCTCCAGAGTTTGTGGAAGGGGGCGGAATCAGCTCTAATCGCTGGTCCCAAGTAAATATCTGATCCTGTAGCCATGCCAAATATGCGTCGTCCACCCCGTGACAATCATCCCGCTAGTAATATATGGCCTCCCAGGTGGGCGCTGTCGGTACGAGCTGCAGCTTGCCAAATTGGCGAAGTACCCGCTTGGTGGCATGATGCTCCACAATATTAAGGCAGGATAACGGGACGGAAGAGGCCCAAATATCACAGCCAACTGAGCAACAATCGGGCAAGCAAGCTATCAGCGCGTCGCTGTATGGCGTCCAGATGAACTATTAAGGAAGAACACAAAATGTTAGTATACGCAACTTCTGTTTGAAGAAATTACAAGTAAACTTAGTTATACATTTACCTGTGCGCCATCCAACAAATCCAATATATCCCTGCACAAGGAGAGATTATGTCGAGCCTCGTACTCGCGCGTATGTCGTCGCTGGCGTACCCACCTCCTAGCTAGAGGGAGCAACTCCGGATCTAATGGTGGTAGAGGTGGTTGCAACTGCAAGAACCGCTCCCAGGACCAAACCTAACATAAAAGGGTTGACGTAAAAGTTAAGATATATTTTTACTAGGTATGTTAAAATGAATAGAGTATTCGAATAGGTTGTCACCTGTAGTAGCGGCAAGAATCCAACAACCTCATGCTGGGTACCCATGCTCGCCCGGCACATGCATCTGTATAAGTAGGCGAGAACAGTAGATCCCCAGCTGTACTGGGGTAAATCATCTAGCCGCTCAAGATGATGAAGAAATCTCAAGCTGACTAGGTTCCCCGAAGTGTTCAGGAACAAGACCCCTCCAAACAACAGGAGTAGCAGCAACCTCGTATGCCTGTCAACATGATCATCTAGTGTAGCGCCATCGATCTGAGGATGCAATGCCTCCCACCATAGTCGAATAGTTGTCAACGGAAAACGACTGGTCCCATGCAACACAGTCTCATATTCTGACCGGAAACTTGTGAGCCGCTACAGCAAGTCCAGGTACTGCACATGTGTCATCTCTCTCATGCCCTCCGGCAGAGAAACGGGCAGTCCATCTAAGGGAAACCCGTATAACACCTCCACGTCCTGCAGTGTGATGGTGGCCTCGCTAATGGGCAGGTGGAATGTATGCGTCTCTGGTCACCACCGCTCTATCAAGGCCGTGAGCAAAGCCCAATCGAGCTGCAGCCGCCCAATCTCAATCATCCTGTAGAAACCCGTGTCCCGCAGGCGCGACTACCCGATCATGGAGAACTCTGTCATGCAGAAAGTCCCACATGTCGTCCACTCTCCTGGCGCGGAGAGTATCGGTTAGTAACTTACCCTCCTATATATGGGCGGACCTATGATCGCCCTGTAACGAGAGTAGCGCATCGCTGTAGGGTCCCGGATGAATAGGCAACACATCCATGTCGTCTACTGTAAATTAAACAACATTAATTACATGTTAGTTTTATAATTTTAAATATTTGTTTTGTAAATTAAATAATTAAATTTTATAATTATATAATATTTAATTATGATGTATTTACGTAAGGGTTCTAGGCCAGATACTTGAGGCCCAGTAGCACCAAGATATCCTAAATTCTTCCATGTGTTAGTTTTATTATAATTTTATATGTTAGTTTGCAAATTAAATAATTAATTTTTATAATTAAATATTCACATATGGGTTCCAGGCTCCACATTTGGATCCCAGTAGCACCAATTTATTCTATGTGTTTGTTTTATTATTTTACATATTAGTTCATAAATTAAATATTTAATTTTTATAATTAAATATTCATATATGGGTTCCAGGCTCCATATTTAGAGCCCAGTAGCACCAATTTATTCTATGCGTTAGTTTTATTATTTTACATGTTAGTTTGTAAATTAAATATTTAATTTATTTAATTAAATATTCCCATATGGGTTCTAGGCTCCATATTTGGAGTCCAGTAGCACCAATTTATTCTATGTATTAGTTTTATTATTTTACATGTTAGTTTGTAAATTAAATATTTAATTTTTATAATTAAATATTTCCATGTGGGTTCTAGGCTCCAAACCATATTTGAAGCCCAGTAGCACCAATTCTTTCTATGCGTTAGTTTTATTATTTTACATGTTAGTTTATAAATTAAATATTTAATTTTTATAATTAAATATTTCCATGTGGGTTCTAGGCTCCAAACCATATTTGAAGCCCAGTAGCACCAATTCTTTCTATGCGTTAGTTTTATTATTTTACATGTTAGTTTATAAATTAAATATTTAATTTTTATAATTAAATATTCCCAAATGGGTTCCAGGCTCCATATTTGGAGCCCGTAGCAACAATTTATCCTGAAATCTTCTATGTGTTTGTTTTATAATTTTATAATCTTATAATCTTCTGGTGGCATGAGGTCTATCTAGATTTATGAATCAATAGTCTTGATTGAGACTCTAGGTGTATTTTGGCATCTCTAATAGTATCTGTAGAAATTCTGAATACGACTATTTATTTGAAACCTTGTTGATATTTTCAAAGCTTCTAGTAATCTCATTAACTTGTATATGATAAAACCAGACCTGAGTTTACACAATGGTCTAATTAAGAGGCTATAAAAGCAAATACACTTGCATTCATTAACTGTTGAAAGGATGATCTGTATGCTTTTCTTTTTACCTTCGAGATTATCTGATCTCAGATGCTTAGGTTCTCTGATGGTCACATAACAATGTCCATGCTTCTATATGTGTCTAAAACTCAACCCTTTAATCTTTTATTGTGTTAATCATTTACTTGGTTTGTAAACACGGTTATGATGGTGTAAATAAACTACCTTATTTTCTCACGGTATTCTGTTGGGCTCTATTAAAAGGGGTATATACTTCTATGGTATGTCAATGTTATGTTAATCGGTTTGCATTGAAAGTTCCTTGTTGGCACTTAAACATGTGGGGAAGAATAAATTATTAGTGGTTAGGGGTATTTAGGACTAGAGTTTAACTTTTAGTTGGACTACCCTCCTTGACACAAGCATTGCCTTGGGTCTTGAATCCCTTGGAAACTTTAAAGTGTCGGGGGATTCAAATGAGACTTTGGCCTTGAGTGGAACTCTACCCTTAGCCATTAATTCATTGATATTCATTACTCCCTTTGGGTTTAGTGTTTAATGACAATGAAAATTTTTCGGTGTAAATCCTTTGATATGCATAACCACCCCATTGGTATGACCCTTCATAATATTTTAGGTATTGTTAGTTGCTACGTTTTGTTTAAGTCAGTTGCTCACATAGTTCATGTATAGATAAATGTATATAACATTGTTTTCTAATGACTTTCTCGCTTTCATTTTAAACATGTACAACTATTGGGCCTAATAAGTTCTCCAAGAACTCAGGCCCAAGCCCAACATCATTGCATTTGAAGTCTGGAGCCTAATGTTGTCCCTTCCTGCTGATTATTGGGCCTACCTCTTTCAGGCCCAAACCAGAGTCATTCTTCATCCTTTACTACTTTTACTAATATTTCACTTATCTATATTCTTTACATGTATATAAAATTGCTCTCACCATATTCAATAAGTATTTTGATTTACCTTTTGAATTACATAAATAACTTAGGTAAGCCTTAAAGAACATAGGATTAAAAGAAATATTAGTTAGTATCTAATCCTCCATTCGCTAATCATAAGTTGTTCACACCATTAGTCCGCTGTGTTTTGCAAACCCTTTCTTAAAGATTTTGAAGCCCCGAAAAATACTTAACGAAGCCGGAAGTTCCCCTTTCAAAACCAGAAATGAAGTGCAAGGCTAACTTTCAAAAAGGAATTGACTCTTTCAAATTTAAGAGTTGTTGTCCAACGAGATTTTCAACATCCTCTTTAGTCTAAGATCTATATAATTTCAGAAACTAAGGTATATCTTGACTTATTTCCCCATAATATTTTACAAGAGTTACACACATAGCCATAATTATTTAAACACAAAGTGTTTACAACTTAACCTCGTCTGGATCTTGTCCTTCAACATGCGATATTCCTCACCTTCATGCCTGAATGGTAGGCACAAGTTAACCACTGGGAAGGGTTTTTAACAACAACAGCGAGAATGGGGGTGACATAACCAGCAACCTTTAGTCTTTCATACAATTGGACTATGGGTTCAGCGATAAGGGTGTATTGTCTAGGAGCTCTACGATCAAAGTTTGGTCATGGTTTAGGATAGTTGTGGCGGGTGGCAGGAGGTGAATGGTAATATGCAAGTTGGGCATTATAGTATGGTAGGTGGTGGCGGGGTATTGATATTTTGGAGGTGAGGGTTGGTTTGTGGGTGGATGTGTTTGATAGGTGAGAGGAGACTTAAGGCCCTGGGCTACCATTATAGCACCCACTTCCTTCTTCTTAGAAATACCTCCTGACTCTAAAGCTTTGTTGGTGGCTTGCAGCTGTCACACCTCCTTTTTTACCCGAGGCGATATAAGGGAGTTTTTCCAATTAAAGTGACATAATCGAAATGAGATTATTTTATTTATTCTGAGTCGCCACTTGAAATAGTTTATTTGGTGTCCCAAGTCACCCATTTATTATAAATCCCAAATCGAGGAAAATTTTGACTTTATTTAAAAGTCTGCGAAACTAGAAAAACTAGGTAAGGAATTATGTTAACCCGGGAGAAGGTGTTAGGCATTTTCGGGTTCCGTGGTTCTAGCACGGTCGCTTAACTATTAATAATTGACCTAATTATCTGATTAATTACATGTTTTAAAACCTATTGTGCATTTTAACCATATAACCGCTTTTAATTATTTTAAACGCTCTTTTTAGGATTTATGGAATTGTTTCTTGAACAAGTTACGATTGTCGTACACTTGCCGTTTTGGAACACACCGCAAACCACGCTACATGAAATGCACCCGCGATTGACGATATGTTTATTTTATTATTATTCGAACTTGTTAGGATCGGGTCATATGAAATGCACCCCCGACTTTAGGAATTATGTATCACGACTATGCCACGGGAATCGTACCCATAGTCACGATGATTTATAATAAACGCGCCTAAAGCAAACTACGGATGTTCATAAATTGATTATTTTTCTAAGGTTTGAGACTAAGCATAAGGAGATCTATAGCTATAGAGTTATTCTGGAGATAGGAATACATTAAACAAGGTGAATCTCGAAGCTAACTTATATGGACTGTTAGAATATTAAACACTTCAAAAAATCAATTGAATTAAATTAAGAAACAGGTTGCTTTCAAATATTTATTTTAAATGAGAATTTATCTCATGATAACACCACTGTAACATAGTAGCAATTGACCTCCAAAGGGTCTAAAACGCGACTGCAAGTGGGCTTGCAGTGAAGCCCAATGCGTTAAGTCCTAATCAGAACAATGCAGTACTAAGGAAAAATCTGCCTTAATCCATTCAAATTTCCAGACTTAAAGAAAAAAAATGTCGAAACAAAGAAGATGAACAACTGAACTATTTATACTGATCTAAGGCAAGACAAATTAATTACATTTCTAACATTTACAAATCTCGCGAATCATAATACAATCATCAAAAGGGATAACAGACATGAATCCTTAAATATTTATATGGATTGTTCATAAGGCTAATTAAACTGAAAAGGACATAACCAATCTTGTGTTTAAATCCCTTCCATAGATGACTCCAAATCCAGCTTTTATACTTATATTCACTAATCTGATCCAACTGGTGGTCAGATTAGCAAGCCACAGCCATGTAGCCATCACTAAGCCTTCTCAGACTCAACAAAAATCCATATACTTTAACAAAATCACTCTATAGTAAAACCTTTTTGAATTAATACTGATTCTGCAAGGTTCAAATAGTGCTGAAACTATACAAAATTTAACAGTTGAAATCACTTACTCCAAGTGTTGCTAATAGCTATCTATATTAACATTTAGAATTAAACGATCTTGGTCACTTTCCAACTTACAATGAGCTAGTTTATACATGAAATATTAACTTTGAAAACATACCCAAATCACAACATAATCAAGATGACATGAGATAGTTCGACAACTCTCAAGATAACCACACTAATTCAGGTGACCAAATAGTAGAGCAAAAGTATTCTAATTTTCTTTATTTCAAAACCAAATAAACAGAAGAAACACACATGAATTTAATTAAGTCAAGAGCTGCCAGTTTACACAATAAGCATAAGAGAATGATGATGAAAAACCAGAATTTTTCATGGAACAAATAAAGAAACCAACTGATTCATGTCAAAATAAACTCAGATTTAAGGTGAATACCTGATTACAGCAAGATAGACAAATAGAAAACAAATCTCTTGCTTTGGAGAAGAAGTAAAGAAAACTATAAATAGTAGAACAGCAGCAGAAGCAACCAACGGCAACAAGACCAAGGTAAGTTGAGCTAAACGATCTTCTTAATAAT